CCTAACTTTTGTAACGATGATGACATAAAGGGATCATATTCTAGTAATTGTACGGAGTTTTAGTGAACGGATAAGGGAATATCTGTGAAATGGAACACAGAGAGAGAGAGAGAGAGAGAGAGAGAGAGAGTGGCAATGACAAGTGCAGGGTGTGGTGTAAAAACTGGGCTGTCTTTGTTATATTATATTTTTTTCCAAGGAGAGAGTTTGCATAAGCCGGGGCCTATAAGAAGGGGCACTGGGGGGTGGGTAGGTCACAAGTGAAAGGGCATAGAAGAGAGATCGATGGGTGAACACAGTGGAGTTGAGAAGATAATGAATGGGTTGGGGAAGGCCAAACCATACCTGGCAATGGTGTCTCTTCAGTTTGGGTACGCAGGCATGTATATTATCACCATGGTTTCTTTCAACCATGGCTTGAGCAACTGGATTCTTTCTGTCTATCGTCACGTTGCTGCCACCCTCGTCATTGGCCCTTTTGCCTTTTTCCTTGAGAGGTACCAAGCTCCTCTCTCTCTCTCTCTCTCTCTCTCTCTCTCTCTCTCTGCCATGAATATAATCCACACGTACTGATACAGTACGTATTATATTTTAGTGCTTGTTTTGTCTAATCGATCACTCTCTTTTCTTTTGGGCATGAGTTTAAGTTGTGATTTCGTTCATTATTGCAGAAAAACGAGGCCCAAGATGACTCTTCCCGTATTCTTAAGGATACTGGTGCTTGGTTTCCTTGAGTAAGCCCTCCTCATTGTTCATACTGCATCCCTACCTCTTTTTAATTAACTTCGTTTTTTTGTCAGATTTCTCTTCAACCTCCAAATACATGCATGCACGCCCACTCTCTCTCTTAGCTTGTGGCTTCAACTATTAATCTACACCTTAATGATGCTCTCTACATGATTCATTCCTCCGTTTTATTTTTTATATAATGAGGAGAATATATTCTTATTGATTAATCCATCACATCCATACTCTAGGCGAAATTTATAATCACTTTGGTACGTATTTATTACATAACTTTGCTAATTCTTCAACAAGTCAATATCACGTAAGGAATTCTAGTTTTTTAAACGTATTTTGTAAACTAAAATTAATAAAAATTAATTTACTTAATGGTGCTTCATGTATACAGGCCCACCACACCTTCCGGTGGACAAGATATGGAACACCGTATATACTATAATTAAACAAAGCATATACTATACGTAAACCACAGTCAACACAGTCACGAACAAAACCCTAATGATTCAAACCCCCATTTCCAACTTCCCACTTGTATTATTTCTTTTGTTATAAGAATTTTAGTTATGGAGAGCTTGAAAGATCGTGTTTTGCTCTTCAATAAAGATTACTATACATGGCCGAAAAAAGAATAAAGATTATACATAAATTTTTTCTATCTAGACGTTAATATAAGAGCATCTAATGGAATTATTCCTGGTTATGTCAATCAAATCTAGCTACCAAAAAGGTATACCGAAGCACGTTGCTACGACAGCATGGTCCATATAAAGGGCCAGGATGATGCCTCTGGCTAGTAGTTATTATGCTCTACTTAACCTATCAGAATCTGATTTTGTCATAAAGAAAAAAATAATATTATCTTTGATTCTCAACTTTAGGATGAGGTTTAGTTAAATATGCACATGCGAATTATTTACTTGTAATCTCAATGATAATTTGTTTGGTACGATGAAAATGAATTACAGGCCAGTACTTGATCAGAACTTGTACAACATGGGGATGAAGAATACCTCAACAACGTTTGCTTCAGCCACCGTCAATGTCCTTCCGGCCATTACTTTTATAATGGCAGTCATTTTCAGGTAGAAAAACTAAAAGATCACTTCGCCATATAATTATAGGCAGAGATTTGATCACTCTGGTGAACCAACGACCCATATATAATAAATGAATGTATTTACTTATTTAACCAGGTTAGAGAAGTTGAACTTGAGAAAAATACCCAGCATAGCGAAGGTAGTTGGCACAGTGATCACAGTGTCAGGAGCCATGGTTATGACTTTGTACAAAGGATCAGAACTTCACATCACGAAGGGATCAGCAGCATCGAGCCATCAAGAGAGCTCCACCACCTCGCCCTCTCAACAGCACTGGGTGCTTGGCACTCTAATGCTCATAGCTAGCTGTGGTGGTTGGGCTAGCTTCTTCATCGTGCAAGTGAGCCCCATTCATATATACAATACGCTCGCGCACACAGACAAGTGATTCAATTCTCAATGTTCATGAAACTTATGCGATTTTTGGCTCATTTTTAATGCAGTCGTTCACCTTGAAGAAGTACCCAGCAGAGCTGTCCCTCACCGCTTGGATTTGCCTGGCGGGCATCTTCGAGAGTGCAATCGCCTCCTTAATCATGGAACGAGACATGAAAGTTTGGGCTTAGGCTGGGATTCTAGGCTCCTCGCTTGTGTTTATTCTGTGAGTACTCAGTTTTCTTATCTCAATTAACTCAAAATCAAAACCCATTAGACATTAATTGTTGATAAATGATAATCATTATCAGGGAATTGTGTGCTCTGGAATGGCTTACTACATACAAGGATTTGTGACCAGAGAACGCGGGCCCGTTTTTGTGACTTCCTTCAGCCCTCTGTGTATGATTATCACCGCTGCTTTGGGCACCATTATTTTATCTGAGCAAATTTATGTTGGAAGGTATGTATAAACAGCAAATATACATAATGTTCACTTTTGCAGTTCTTCTCTAAGATTTGCAATGCAAAGTAAACTCGTTCACGTGCAACATTCCTTGTTCATGTTGCAGCATAGTTGGAGCCATTCTCATTGTCTCGGGGCTTTACACTGTGGTATGGGGCAAAAGCAAAGACCCTCTGAACACAACAGCAGCAGAAATAGGTGATGGCCATGAGTTGCCAATTAAAAGCGGCCCAGAGTCTGGAATGCCGGGCAATTTTGAGAGCATCGAGGTGAATGTTGCCGCTGATACGATGAAGGGTTCGGGGAAGAAAGTCCCACCGGCAGCAAAATCTTGAAGAATGTCCTTTAGGAATTATAACCATGGTCATAAATTTTCCCGGCAAAGAGTGGTCAGGAAGAGTTTGTACGATGAAGTACGAATCTTTCTCAATGCCCTCCTAACCTGTACCTTTTTAGTTTCTTGTTTTCCTTGAGCTTTTTTTGGATGTTTCTGAAGTTAAGAATGTAAGCAGAATAAAGTAGCAGAGCATTTGTCTCTGTTTTTGTTCCTCTAGGCACTATCTTCTTCATACTTACTTTCTTAACTACAACATTATGCTTGAGCGAAGATTCGATTCGTGACTTGGATTGATATCCTAAAGGCAAGTCGTCGTGAGCTGTTTTGGCTTCTGCGCCAGACATTGGAATTATGAATGGACATTTGTGGTGTTTTTGTCAGCATTTCCATTTCGCCTCTAATGAATGAATGCAGATAGCTCTGCAATGAACAGAATCACATTCGGATGCCCTGAACTGCAACTGCTTCCGATCATACAGCACCTGGGAACAGGGGCCATAGCACACTCAAATCAAGTCAATCAAATTTTAATAAAGATATGGTGGGCATTATGTTCGTGTGATTCAAATGTAGCTGCTATCTGAAGTGCACTTTTCACTTTATCTGGGACGGGCTTTTCCAAGGACTCCTGTTCATTGTACTTTTTTCACTCGTTAACTCAATTCCACATTCCCCACCATTAATTGTTACCCTTTGGGTGGCTCTCTCATTCACAGCATTGATGGCGAGGGTCTCCTTGTTGCAATCCGTTGGAACAAGTAGGCCAAAACCTGCCGACTTCTATGAATATCAGCGTCCCTTGTTTTGATGGAATTAGCCGCCAATTTTAGAGTCTTCTGTGAATCATTTAATAACAAAAGGAGAGAGGTCCCAGCGTGATCTTCCCAGAGGATCTGGTTTTAAATCCTACTGAGTCATACTTGTTATGGAAAGGTCGACATAGAAAAGTGTGAACCTTTTTGGTACAATAGAAAATTGTCAACTTGTGGTGCACAATTACTCATCTCTTTATAGTTTATTTGCATAATGTAAATCTAATCTAGGAAAATGTGACACATGGAAGACGAGTTACACCTATTTCATAAGGATTAATGTCTGCTCCAGACCACGCGCAGAGTGCTTAAACTCATCCTGCTCTTTTGAACCAAAAAATAAGACCACCATACCACGACTTCAGCAGAAAAATGCTTGGCAATTCCATAAACCCCAAGTAATAAAAGATCGAATCATCAACACGCCTTTTGGACCACCAAATTATGCATAAGTTACCCAACAGCTTCGTCGTAGCATCTAAGCAACTTTTTTTATAGGAGAATGAAAAGAGAAGATTTTTCATTCTCTCTATACAGAAAATGGCAGCACATAACCCTACCGCGGGAAAATTATTAGTTCACTGATTTCTTGATTCTCATTGCATTATAACGGCTTGCTACTTAATTAAGTTGTCGTTAAATTCAAAACAAACTCAAGTCGACCTTGCTTTATTGTCAATAAGCGTTACACGTGCACTCTCCATCGATAGCTCCCCCATCCAGTCCCTGAATAATCCAAAAAGACCCCAAGAATCATCAACTTCAAGCATCGGATCCTCTCAAAGTGCGCATAGAATATGAATTCCGTGCAGGTGCAACAACGTAAGTACGTAACTTTACAAGCTTTCTCCAACACGGCACAAGTACCACTACGATACAAAACATAGTTCGCCTCAAAAGAACTGGCCTATAAAACGAAAATACTGCCTCAACCATTCAAAAGCAAAACTAAAGTCAAACGAAAACTTTTAATCGAACGATAGCATTCCAATAGAAGCCATCTTATCCAAGTCCCACGGCAAGAGATCCTGTGAATCTACTAATCAATTATCCAAATCCTGAACTTGGCAGATCTAAAATGATCTCCACAACAAATTTCAAGTTCCTACCAGGAAAACCCACTTCTATGAGCCTGATGAAGTAGTTAATGACAATGCCAATCATTTCATTGCACTACGAGGTACAGTAAAGCACCCTAACCTATTAGCTTTTGTGATGGGTGCGCGGAAAAAAAAAAAAAATCGTAATATCACGCATCTGAAGCTTTTCTTTATCGATTGGCTGCTGATTGTGACTGACCAAATACAGACCTGCAGAAAATATACAGATCCAAGGTCTTCAAAGAGATAAATGATAGTATAATATGTTCGCAAAGTGCCAAAGCACTACGAGACAAAGAAAAAATTATCACAACATTGTTCCTAGGAACTTCCCTATTCTGAGATATAATTCAACAAAGCATTTTCAATAATTGGGCTCACTTGAACCCAATCATAGTTTGTTCACATGCTTCTACCAAAAGGCGTTAAAAATGGGTTTACCAATTCTATGTGTAACATAAAAGGCCTCAGGTACTTACCCACAGGTTGAGCACTTCTGATGATGCTCACAGAATATGGATAAGCATACAGAGCATACATAACCCATATCAATTGTTTGCTTATGGCAGAAGCACCTGCAATTTTCATACAATGAAATAGGCACCAATCTCTTTGACACAAATTAAAATTAATATTCTAAAGAGTTTCCCATAAAAGACATGCATCAATCCACCAAAATTACACGTATACTTCACTACAGCAAGTAATTCAATGGTCGGCTGAGGAATTCTTAGAGTAAATTCAAAAGTTAGGTTTATGATAGAGATTGAGGTAGTATGGGATGCCGAAATTCCATATTATGTAGTATGAGATACTCAATGAAATTTTTAAGTGGGTTGGTTCTCTACCTCAATAACTAGTTTTTGGGGGAAAAGTTCTCAATTCCGCTTGAATACCTGTTAGTTTCTACCCTGCAACATGTGTTTCTAAGAAAAAACACGGCCTGTGGATACTTCAATATTGCACACATAAATTTATAGCATTAAGGTGCGCGCACACAGCATTAGTCATAATGGTTAACCAGGGTTATCTAATCAGCTTGGGGGGGGGGGGGCCTTGAAAGAGAAAAATATCATTTTCCTCTTCAAAAGAAAGAATTGGACAATGTAGAGTGAGGATCTCCATCTTCTCCATAATGTAATTCAGAAGAAATCTAGATTATTTTCACAATAGCAGATACTGTCCGCCATCATTTGGAAAAGGAAAAGCCTCGAAAAGTCCAGGCAAGAAAAGTTTGGAAATATTGAAGTCACAATCTGTATGATTCTAGCAAACCATAGAAAGTCAGGGAGAACATAGAATATCAATAGGAGAGGAATCTTACGAGGCACGAAAATCCACACCAACAGATTTAGGAAGACGTAGAAATGCACGAGAATGTAAGTCAGTTGCAAAAACCATCTGCATTAAAAGGGTTAAATTAGCGTCAAAATCAAAGCAAGTAGAAAACAAATTTATTCAAAACTCAAAGGAATACTTTTGACAGTAGTGATGAGATAAATATATAACATACATGTTTGCAGGGGAAACTAAAGGAAGAATAAAATGGAAATTAAAAAATATATAGGAAAAAAAACACTATAACAAAAATAAAAAGGTCATAAAAATTCTAAATTACACTGAGACAGTGAGACTGCTAATATAAAGTAAACTACAAAAGCAAATTAGTAACCTATTTAAGTCACAACATTCAAGATGCCCAATAAGGAGAACAGCTTACTGAGAGATATTGAAAAAGACCATCTAATTGGGGCGGCCGGTAATATATGCCACCAGTTATGTATGAGGCCTGTGATTTGTAACATCATAAAAATCAAACGGTCAATAATTTATTGTTATTGTTACATTATCGGCAACATCAAATTATTCAATATATTTACTTCAACTACCTGCTGGAGGAATGCAGAATTGTTGGATCCTATATAACAAGAATCGATGGGAACCTGCATCACAACAATATTACTACAACACTCAGTGTTTCTGGGGCTGGAAAAATCCATAATATAGTATTACAAGTGGATATTACTTAAACTTCAAGGAAAATACATGACAAGTACAGCAGATAAGCATGCACATAATGTGTAAGATCTCACTTTAACAAGTACATTCAACAAATGTATAAAAAATGTCAATACAGGCTAACCCAACTCACTCGGCATGGCCAAAAAATTCAATTAGGCGAGGTTGACCCTTTTATATAGGTCCATAGATTACCAACCTCGTTTTTTAGGTTTTACACACAACGTCATAAACTCCTATAAAAGAATCACTAAGAGGTTCGAAAACAGTACCTAAAAAATTCACAATTAACAAACTAAAACATTTAATAAACTTAAAATCACAAATTTCATAGTTTTATGCCAGAACATAGTTAATTTGTGCATTTTGAAACCCCATAAATTACAAGTTAAACAACAAATCTCAAAATACCCGGTTCTGAATGGGTTATATTATGATCCAAACCACCTATGTTGCCAAGTTAGACAAGCCAAACCGAACCACCTTTTCACACCCTATCATTTCAGTTGCCTTGACCAAGCATGGGATCCTCAGCAAATCAATGTCTTACTCCATGTTTCAATTTGCCCATCAATAAATTACCATCCTATTTACATGATTTTTTTAAAGTGAAATTGGCTTTACATCAATGGCATCACCACTCATACAAGCTTAAATACTGGCACACATAATTTCCATTAAACTCAGTACACACGAGTTTAAGGAAGGGCAAATCAATCTTCTGACTTCAAAGCGGCTCATGTTACATATAAAAACAATTATCATATAATTATTTAGTTAAAGCTTCAAAGGGTCCCGAAGAATGACTGACTATTGTGGGTCAGGATAAGGCCAAGGTCTAAACCAGTTAAGAATGAAGAGAGCAAGAAATTAGAATTGGACACATACCGTAGAACGCTGTGCAGAGAATATACCATTCATGACTGCCACATACCTGAAACAGATTTAAAATGTAGTCTGAAATAAAGTACCAATCAAATAGGAGTATATAAAAAGTAAAGATCATTACGAACATACTGTTCTGGTCCATCCGGAGATCCTTGCAAACATAAAATCTGCCCCCAGACATTAGTAAACACAAAAGTAATTATTTGGAGCCATTCAAATGAAATACAATGATAAAAAAAAAATATTGACCACAGCATAATTTTAAAACGATGCATCTTTTTAATTTTTACCATATGACTTCTAAAGCCACACTTTTTTGGCCAAAAATAATCTATTTAAGATTCATTATCATTGCTTTGAGCTTTTCTTAAGCATACCGTAAAGCCAAAAGCACGGAAAGAAAATGAAGCCTTTAAAGAACTACCCCTCCGTTTCCTCAATTCTACACAAAACTTATCCTGAATCTAACTACTCAAGGCTATAAGTCGGAAGGTGATGTAAGGACCAATAATTGTTATAACATGGAACACACAAGGGTGGTTAAAATCTTTACCTGCTTACCTCTTACTCCAAACACAAGTATGTAATACAGACACACTCAGATACACGTGACCATACCGGGTAGTCTATATTCTACAAATTAACAGAGAAAAATTGATCTGATTTCAATCCACAAAACACCCGTCCATATAGAAGAAAACTTCGATTAAATTTGATCTTTTGACTAACAGAATCAATTCCAGCAACTTACCATATCCAAATTTTGGGTTTTTTTTTAATCTTAATAAAATATTTATGATTGGAGATGAATGCACATCATGCATACCCTAGGTTGAGGATGCAGGGGTCCCGAGCGAAAAATCCTCTGTATATCTGAGCAGCAAATGAGGCCAAACAAGTCCAATGCAAAATACAATTTCATTGTGCCAGGAATTTCCTCTCAAAGGTAGCAATGATTAGGCAGTGCAGCGATGAATACGAAAGCCATGATGTTCAAAATATGGTGTTTTCCACATTTTGTTGGCCAGAAGTTAAAGAATTTTATACACACGCACACGCACTCATACTGGTATGATCAGAATATTGATCAGCTACTAAATAGGATACAACAAAGAGCCATAGACAACGATCCTGATAGCAGTGAAGAAGCAATGGCTCCTTGTGTTTGGGCCTTGCCCAATTGCTCGTCCTTTGCAACAAATTCCTCCAATTTCTGCAACAAGGTAGAATAAAGTGCCGGCATTCCTTCAGTTTCCGAACCGTGGTTGCTGTCCGAAGATGAATCGTATATGTAGCTGCATGAGTTGCATCCAGTGGCAATAACAACTATTTGGTTTAGTTGATTGAGAAGTAGGATTGAATTCAAGAATGCAAGTACCTGGGGAAAAACAGTTTTCAAATAGGAATCAAAATGTTGATTTATTTTCTGTCTACAAATTCTTCTGGAAGGAAAATTCAGAGCTAGGGTTACTGAAGCGTGAACTTGGGGAACTTCTGTGACTGAAGAGGAGATAGAGATTATTACATGTGAAATAAACTCGGAAAATGGGAAAGAGAATGCGCTCCAAAAGAAGGGATTTGTGTCCAATGAGACCACCAGAAGACTAACATCATCTGTAAAAAACACAGTCAAAGATAGAGATCAACGGTGGAATAGGTGAGAGCAACTATTGTGGTTATGAGATAGTGTCAGGGAGGAACCTGCATAGAGCTTCGAAGGAGCCGAAGTCATGGCGGGCTGATATATGATTTGTCTCAGGAGCAAGCCCTTTTATAGTATTTCAGGTGTTATATATTTAGCGGGAATTGGGGACGAAGATGGTGGGAATGTGGGGCTTTAGGACCGCTCTCTCTGGTGGAAGTTTCTGGTCCTACAGATATGCGTTCAGCTTCTGTAAAGCTTTCCCTCGATATGCAAGACCAGGAATGTAATGGGAAAGCTCATCGGAGGAGACCACCCAGCAATTCCCGACGAGGCAAGTCTGCAATGAAAAATGGAGCAACGGCAGCGAGGGCTGGAATCGTGCGGCGATATCTCGCAGAAGCACCGGCCAGGATTGATTTTGGTGTCTCTGCGTTCCTGATCGTCGAATGCCTGGACGGTCCAGATTTTCTTCTCTTAATAAAGCAACGACGGAGATCCCCCCCCCAAAAAACACAAAGATAAGCAGCTCCGTTCGATCATATTAAATTGTCATGGTAAAAAAATAGTATCATTGATATTAAATTATATTTAATCAATATGTATTATCATTATTATCATCAATATATCAACGCGGTGGCACAAAAATAACAGTACATCAATTCGCAGGCAAAAAAAGAAAAACCAATATATCGACAATCAATGAGTTTCAAGCCAAAAGAATAACAAATATCAATAATATAGTTTGTGAGATATTACAAAGAAATAGGAAAATTTGAGGAAAAAATTTTATTAGTAAAAGGACCTAAATTAAAACATTATTTATAAAACTAGCAGAATGCTAATATTGAAAAAAAAATATTACAAGGTCCGAGATTAACAGCCCTCGTGGTGCAGGTTTTTAATTGCGTATTTACACCCCACCTCGATTCTTTATCATTACTTCTACTACCTTTTTAGGCGCTTAAATTTTTTTAAAAAAAAACATCGTCAAAATTAAAGAGTCTTCTTTGAATTAAGGAGTCTTCTTTGAATTTTTATTTTAATAATTTTTTAAAATGTTAAATAGTTGAATTCGAGCAACAAATCTTATATACTTACCTGATCCTATTTATAAGACCCTTCTAGCATGTTTCATGCAGACCAAGAAAAACCCTAAATTTCATTAACTCTTATTTGAAATTTAATAACTTTCCAACTTTATTCCTATTTATTTAATATATATTATATCTCATGTAAACAAAATCAATACAATAATAAATGAAAGATAAAATTATACATCCATATAAAAATTTTCCTTAGCACCCTATAAATAGAACTAAAAAATATCCCCTCTCTACCCTATGAATAGAACCAGAAGAGGACATATTAGATCTTATACTACCTCTAATTCTAATTATAAAATTTTGTTTAACTTTTATTTTAATTTTAAATATAAAACTCCAATGTACTTTGTTTCTCATATTTATCTCTTTTTTTTTTCAAAATAATCTTTATAATAATAGTATTTTTAGGTACTACACTTGATTCCTAAAAATATTTTAAGAAAAACAATATTTATTACAAATAACTAATTTTCTTAATCTACTTAAATAAGTAAACTAACTATTATATTAAAAACCAAAAGTAATATCTAAGAGTAAAAGTAGTACTAAAGAATCAATATCTTTATGATTGCGAGAACGAGGAATTGTTACTATTTTTGCAAGCCAGAAGGCTACAAATTGATCGAAATATAGATAACGTCGCAAGCTTTTGACACGACACAAATGTGGGTGGATTGGACATTTCAGACCACATATAAATCCTCTACGATACAACATAAAGGAGAGATTCACAAAGGCAGAGAAAATGCACGAGTTATTGCCTTTGGCAATAGATCCTCTCCCATTTGAGAAGAAGATTTCTCGAATCACAAGACATCAGATTCGGCCAAGTAGCAAGGCTCGCGAGACTCGAAGAAAGTTCAGGGTCGCATCTTGTAGACTCGCCTCCAAGACTAGACCATGCCATAGAATTTCTCCATCGAAAGATCAAAGGTTGTCCGACCTTCGGCAGGACAGAGAAAATCAATCAAATTGCCGGCTATCATCAAGTCACCAAAAACAGCAGAACATTGGTGATTGATTATAAGCAGAATTACTAAACTTGCTATATAGAAGGCCCGGTTGTCAATGAAATCTAAAAGCTCGTGGTTTTCCAGATTCTTGAATCAGTTAAACGGCACAAATGAACAGTTCTAGCTACAATACATAACAGCACAGTGACGTTGATGGGCAAAACTAAACCCACCATGCCACAAAATTGAAGAGATTACTATGCTACAGAGATCAACAAGTTGACAGACAGTAACACAAGAGCAGATGTCAAAGTGGGAATAGGATTCATCAAGGAGCTTGCAGCAGAAGCACCAGACAGCAGGCCACTGGCTGGCCCATTAGCAGGGGTGAATCCAGGAACTGACCCGGTCGAAGGCACCACTGATGATTTCGGGTTCATTGGACCACCTGCATATGACTGAGGTGACGGTGATGGTGCAAATTCTGAAATCCTGGTAACAGTCGTAGGTGGCGCTATGAGTGGGGGAAATTTCTGCGAACCTGGAGAATTATTTGAAATACAGTCAGAAAGCAAAGATTACAATATCAGAACAGAAAAGGAACAGGAAGCATCCTATCATTACATATGCTTTCTGGCATCCCTTTCATCTGCATCATACCATCACACAATATAAAATCAAACCTACGTTTAAACTCTAGAGTTGAGTTGAGCTGTGATGGAAATAACACATTGAAGACACTCAACAGATGGACATAGTCAACGTGCTTCTCTCTATTTCCAGATTCATAAACATTCAACCTGCTTTCAAGCCTGTCACTAAAATCCTAATAATAGCAGTATAGCAGTGAATTGATCTACGTAATGCTCATATAAACCTCCAAAACAGTGTTGGAGTTTTAGTGTGTATGTTAAAAGAAGTCTCATTAGTGTCTACTAAGATGGGAGCTTGAGCTAATAAAATGGATGAGAAGAGGAGTCTTAGAATTGACCCTTAGAGATAACTGTTAAAACATTTATGCGTCTTAATTAGTTGATTTTATTTTTTTTGATAAACTATATTCAATGGCATTAAAATGTTTTAATTCATCTTAATTAATTGTTTCAAAACTACCCTTTTAATTGTCATTAAAACCATACTTAATCACCATTATGGCAGCCCAACAGTCACATACTATCCGCCTATAAAAGGCAATGTATGGTGCGTGGTCAGGCGCGTCGAGTTTTATCCCCAAGCTCTCCTCCCCCCCTTCTCTCTCCCCCCTCCTAAGTTTAAATTTCTGCTATTCTGTCACCTTGCTCTACGCAAAAAGGATTCATTTAATCCTGGGAAGTGCTGCCTTTTATTCTAACCCGTGTGATGGAATAACTCTTAAAGACAGCGCCCCTAGACACGACTTGAACCATATTTTTATTATTTTTGCAGGTGTTGCTAACAAACAGCTCAATGAGAAGACTGTGGATTGAAGCTCAAAAACCTAATATCCCAAAAGGAAAGGGGGGAAACATAAGTGGAACATGAAGAATTTGAGCATTTTCCTTTTCTCCTATCATTGAACCATTTAAGAAGCATACCCCTTGGACAAAACAGAGAAATAAGAATGCTCCAAACTGCAAACAACTCCTACACTTAACCCCACTAAGGCTTTTAGAAATGATTCAGACAGAAGTTAGAGCGAAAAGCATTAGCAGCATGCCAGTGAACTGCTGGGCCATCAAGCCGAGGGGGAGAGCATTACATCCCTAACATGCATTTAGATTTCAGAATCAACATATATAAAGTATGAGCAATTAGTTGGCTCTGACCTGGGCATCGAGGCTGAAGAGAAGTGGTCAATCTGCAGCGTGGCATAGAACAATTGAATAAGCTCAAAATTCAGTAAATTAAGCTAAAGGGACACCTTTTCAATGTCTTCGTAGAAAAGAAATAGGGCGTATAGGATAAACATACGCTGTTATAATTGTGCCATTTACAAAACCATCATAACTACAAGAAGTAACATTGCAGCCAGCACTACTTTGTTGTGCTGTAACATTCCCAACCATAAGGTTGCTGTTTTTACATTGCATGCTAGAACAAGAAACGGCCAGAGAAGCAGGCATACAGTACAAACTGCAGAGAATAAACCCAAGGTTAGCAAGTAGGAATAGACCTTCCTCTACCAAAAACTAGAAATAGAAAAGAATCTGTCTTTTAAACTTGGAGAAAGCATAGACGGAAACAGAAAACGAAGGGTTTCCTAGTACTTCAGATTTTGTGGTCCACAGCTACACTGCATACAGTGGCTCGCTGTAATCGCATAACTTCCATTGGGGACAAGCAAACCATAATCAGCGGAATAATTTGGAAAATTTGATGCGCAGGCTGCAAAAATGAGAAACATAAAAAAAATCACATATTTCGTTAAAGGACACTAGACAATGAAGCAATAATAACATCAACAACATTGTTAATACTCGAGTTGGAGGTTATTATATTTCTCAATTAAAAAGCGATATCACAATATAAAAGCAATATAAGTATTAGCATCAACTAATAACAAGATGAAAAAAAGCTTGATCAAAGAAATGACAAAAACCCATTCATTGCGGTAGTGCGCGTCATGTGGCAAAAAGGACCCAGAAATTACCTGGGATAGGAATAGCAAGAATATCGCCGTCGCTGATAGCCGTGCTCCCCAAGGCGTTAACATCCATCAAATCAGTAAGAGTGGTGGAATACCGTGCAGCAATCGCAGCCAAAGTGTCGATGGGCTGCACCACGTACGACAGGTAAATTGCAGGCAAAGAGTTATCGGTCCCATTGAAGCAAGTGCATGGAAGAGGCACCACAAGGCTCTGACCCACATCCAGTACTGAAGGGTCGGTTATGGAGTTCGCCTCCCTAAGCTGGTCAGCAGACACCAGACCACCATATATAGAGTCTGCAATCGATGAAAGAGTATCAGAGGGCCGAGTTCTGTAATGGGTCGACACTGATTTACGAATTCCGTCAACGCACGAACAGGTAATGGGGATTTTAAGGAAGAGTTGGGAAGGAAGAATGTGGTGCTCTACGTCAGGGTACGAAATGTCGATGGCATTGGCGGTGAGAAGAGCAATGGGGTCGATTTGAAAGAGGGAAGCCAGCTCAGAGACCTTTAGATCAGTGTAAACAGTGTAGCCAAGCAGGGCATTACAGGAGTCGGAGTTTGAGCAAGGCTCGATAGTAGATTTGGAACTCACGAGAGCAACTTTGATTAAGACCTGTAAAAGTAACAAAAGGAAAGAGCTTCGCAAAATGGGCTTCTGATGCAGCATTCTGGCTATAGCTTTTGCTGCCAGACTAGTCCTTAAGAATAACCTGAACTCTTTTTGCAGAGGCTACAGGATACGCGTCGAATATCGTTGGAAGAGGCTAAATGAAGCTTCACTTCACTCACGCAAGAATGAGTTCACTCGCGACTTCAAAAAGGAACTAGTGGGTTCAGGGAGGACTTACTTTACTGAGTAGAGTGATGCCTACGTAGCGGATATTCCATGGAAGACGATGGAAGATATAGCGAGCGAAGTATAAGGAGGTAAGAGTTTGAACATAAAGAGCGTGATTCTCTACTTGTTGAAGAACACGTCAAGAGAAGGGTGTCTAGGGTTTGTTCAGGCCCCTGCCCAGAAGGGGAAGCCGAGGGGAGGCTAGGGGGAAAAGGAAAAGTTTGAGAACAAGGAGCAGCGAGGGAGCGAGAAGCAGTGAGGGACAGTAGGGAGCAGAGCCACTATAATACTAATACCCCAAGAAAGTAAAGCCGATTCTCGATCTTGGAGTCTCGTACATCAGTGCCTTGCTGGATGGTTGGTCCAGTGGTCCTCGCGTCCTATGTTCACTGTTTTTTAATCAAAATATGTAGCACAAATGTTTAGAAATGTTTTATACGATACGCAGTTTAAACAATTTTATCCTACAATTAATCATAATTAAGTATCGAAAGAGGATTGTGTTTTTATATAAGGTGTTGGTCTTAATCTTATTATGAAAAAGACAAATCAACAAAAAAAAAGGACGAGAGCCCCAAAAATAAAGAACAAACACAGTTTAGCTAACATTGTAAGGAGGGTATTGGTTAACCTTGCTGTGACTTTTGATGTTATATATATAAGTATCATTTTTCAGTCCCAAAAAAAACACACAGTTTAGCTAAACTGAAAAAATTATTACATATATTGATTAAGAACTTTATAATATAAATCTCAATTTTAATTAAATGTTCTAAAATTTGTGAAGACTTGGTTTTTAAATCCTGTTAATATTTAATTGCATTTAAAATTTTAAAGTAGTTTATATTAAATAATGATGTTATTCCCAACATATTTTCATGTTTATTTTAGTCTAATTAATCTTAAACAACAAACTCCTTCTGATTCAATTTTCGACACTTCAAATGCCGTCCTTTTTGAGTTAAGTGAGATGGTCGTAGCTATTATATTACGAGGGCGGCCCAGCCCAATTGACACGGGAAAACTGGCCCAGCTCAATACACATGAGAAAACACGCTCGGTTATAAATATATGAAGCTGTTTTGTTCATGACCTAGCCCCCTACGGCCTACCCCATGCATGGCATTCCTTTCTTCTTCTTCCCTTTTCGCCGGAGAGGCAGGCCCATCATTCGCATTAGGACCATCCGGCTCTTGCTTGTTGAGTTTTCTTCCGCCCTTGAAGCCCTGCCCTTCACGCGCTACTGCCACAAAATTCACTCACAATTGCATCAACCCTGTCAATTATTTGAACTTTTCACATTCTTACATTAATATTTTGAGATAAATGTAAATCAAGTTGATCACTAGGTAGGAAACACAGCCCCCGAGCCCCCCGCCAGGAAGGAGACAGTCTTCGTCGTCTAGCATTTGCAATCAAACCGCTTCACTGCTGCGTACTTGCCATCGCATATATGTGCACTGTCCATTTCATTTGTGTCTATGCTCCTTTTCTTTCTTTTCTTTTCTCAATGTTCCTTTTTTAATTGCCCCTCCACATTCCATTTATTTACTTAAAAAAAAAAAAGAATGAGCATATGTATATTAAAAATGAATCAATAATATCTGCATCTTTTTATGGTAACAATTAATGAACACATTGCAGCATTTCTGCATCCGAGTTTAAAGAATCCAGCTGCAGCTTTAGAGGAGCAGAGTGAGATTGCCGCAGCTGCGAATTGAGAAATCATTTATGAGCACTGTACCTGCATCGTGTCCCCTTCCACGCTACGTATATGTAATCATCACGTATTCATTTAGCTGGTCGGCCTTTATTTTATAGTATCATTTTTACTGAAAATAACAATTAATTCAATCATCCCTAGCCATTTCAATAAAACATGAGTCTAAGAAGCCAAATATTTTCAGGATTGGTGTTGCTATTTGCTGTCTGGTCAGGATTCCTCAATGACGCCTGACCAGGCATCAGTGAAAGAGAATTAAATTAAAAGAGCCATTTTTGTTGCTTCTGGGTGCGTCGATCTTTTCTCATGAAAAAGCGTTGGTCTCAATATTTTATTGCCTGAGCAATATTCCCTCGGATCTCCCTCGATATCAAAGAAAAAAGCATCATGAGAAGAGGGAACATAAATTTATTCGGTAAAACAGAAACCAAATAGAGGAAAGATGCATGGAGGAATATGGGGTCAAACGAAATGTAATAATTTTCTGAATCTCTTCATTATTATATTGACGCTGATTTATTTTATGCATTTCTCCAGAATATTTCCTATGCCACGCCAAACGCCAACTATGTCTCATTAATAGCCTCCAATTCCAATCAGCTCAGATCTCTATAACAATGTTAACTCCTTTTATCTAGAATATGAGACGAGGTGAGGCCCCTGAAGCTTCCTGCTAGGTCTGAAGTCATAATATTTCCAACTTGATCTCCTATTAAGGTTAATGAACCCAGTTAATATTTGCAGCCCGATCTTTTAGTAAGATCACTTAATTTGCTGGTTTGAAGCTGCCACGATATGCAGATACCATCGTCCCACCATTCCGCATTTATGGATAAAATGGCAGCCAAGGGGGTCCCCTGCACAGGCCACATAATTGGGTTCCCTTTAAAGACGAACCACTTTATCTCTAGTGTTATGAAGCAACTAACTCATCATATGCGGTCGGTAATTTTGTTTTTATGTTACTAACTAACACTGCCAATTTTCAGAGTCTCCTAATGGTGATAAAAAGACGGAGCTCTCAAATTTAGATAAAAGATATCGCACCAAAGATCCTCAACCTCATCATCGAAACTAATCATAGCGGTTTCTTTTTTTGTTTCGGTTACTATTAGAATAATATTCCCGTTATGAAAAATATTTTATTACACGATTAACATATTTCTGCTGCGAACCAATTTTAATACTTCTCCGGTCCTAATTATAAGACCCAATTGACTTATTTGAGGAGATTAAGGAAGTAAGTTAAATTGGTTATTTATAATAAATAAGTGTTGTCATTCCTAAAATATCCTTGCTAATTAAGTATATTGGCTAAAACTATCATTATTAGAAGGATTATCTTGGAAAAAAATGCATAAATATAAGAGACAAAATAGATTGGGGTCTTATAATTAGGACCAAATAAAAAGTCAAATGGGGTCTTGTAATAAGGACCGGAGGAGTATTACTTTAGTTTTTCCTTAGATATTAACTTTTGCCGCGTCAGGCCAGAGATTCCCGTGACAGTTGACGCTTTTAAACTGCGCAGAGATATCCCAGCTCTCGCTTCAGCCCCAAGTCCTCAACTGCAAAGCCCTTCATATATCCCTCTTGTTTCTCTGTTGGTAATAATCGCACATTACATTTTCATTAGTGGTTGTTTGCGTAAGAGAGAATGGCCAGTTCAGGATCGTTCTCGAGACAGGTGAATGGGAAGGAGGCCTGGAAATCGACGTCGAAGAGATGGAGTGGGAAAAACAAGCATGGCAGAGGTAGCGGGGGCATGAGCGTGGAGGCCAGCCTGAATCAAATGTGTGGAAATGAGGGCAATAAGACGGCAGCGAGAAAGAGAGTGATGGTGGTGGTTGATCACTCGTCGCATTCCAAGCATGCACTCATATGGGCAATCACCCATGTCGCTAATAAGGCTGATTTGCTCACTCTGCTTCACGTCGTCCCTCCACACACGCCTTCTCATTCTTCTTCTTCCACCTATCTCCTCAACTATCTTCTTTCCCTCTGTAAAGATTGCAGGCCCGAGGTATGTTTGTTTGAATTTGTAATCATTCTTCTCTTCGAATCTTGAGGGTAAATAAGGAGTTTTTCGTGTTCCCATATGCGTCCAGGGAGAGGCCAGGGATGGTTATTGCGCAGGTTAGATCTAGATTCTAGTTGGTCTATGGTAATTCTATGATATTGGAACCAGAAGTTGGAGTTCCTTTTCTGATATAATTATTTCTTTTTCCATGAATACTTTCTCCACATTTCTTCAGAAATATTCCCTTCACTCTGTTTACTTTCCAGAGGGAAATCATGGGCATTGCTCAGCTGCGTCAGCCTTTTCTTTTTCGAGTTGCCCCTTTGTCCCCCAGTTCCCCATCCCATTCCTCCCCCTTCACAGTGAAGTTAAAAAAAAAAAACAGGAAAGGGGAAAAAAAGGTGAAAGAGAGATAGAAGTGAAAATAAGGTCCCTGCTGAATGTAGTTTTCAGTTTTCATTAAAGAAAGAAAGAAGGTCCTCTGCTTTCCAGAGTTTGTTAATGGAATCTTGTGTTGTTATGCGCGTGTGTGCGTGACATAGGCGGAAGTGGAGGCACTCGTAATTGAAGGACCAAAACTGAGCACCGTGACGAGCCAGGTGAAGAAGCTGGAGGTCTCGGTCTTGGTGTTGGGCCAAAAGAAGCCATCTCTTCTGTTCAACTGGTTAGACTTCAGTCCAGCCTTTGATCTCAGCCTTAACATGGTTTTCTCACTAATCAGCAATTGTGTCTGCGTAAACGATTGTGCTTTTGATATCCCGTTTTCCTTTGCCGACAGCCTATGTGGAAGCAGCAGCGCAGAGGAGTTTGTGGAACATTGCATCCACAATGGAGAGTGCTTGACAATAGGAGTGAGGAAACGAAGCCAAGGTACGAATGGGTACCTCATCAGCACAAAGTGGCAGAAGAACTTCTGGCTTCTGGCTTAGGTTTGTCGACTTAGTTGCCACTTACCACATCGCAAGGCATACATGAGAAGATTAACTTAATATATCTCATTTCTATCACTCAGTAACTATTAACATCTTCCTCCCTCGTACTAATGAAGTTACTTGTTGGGGTAGTCCTTGATTCTGTACGACTTCGGGAAACGATTCTGAACTATTTCTGTATGGAACCATAGACATGCTTATCAATATAAACATGCGAGTTGTAGGAAATACTAATATTTTTTGTAATTAACGAAAATTTCGACTTATTAAAATTTGTGTAAATACATAGTACCTGCTCTGCTTACTACAGAGAAAAGAATGCGTGTAAAATTTGGTGTAATCCATCCCATCTGTTGTGTTTTGAGTTGTACGGACTTCATTAATCTATTGAGGACTAGAGACCACGGATTTCAACGACGGACCAATACCCAGGACCAGGAACTCATTGTTCCGTCAAAGAAAAACTAGAGTACGTGTGCAAACATTGTTCGCGGTGAGCCGGAAACGGGTGACCCTGTCGACACATTCTTCAATGCTCCATCATTGATTTCCCTCCTACCCCTACCCTACTCCACCCCTCGAAAAACTCAAAAAAGCATACAAGTTTATTTACGAAAACCTACTTAAACAAGACAATAACCAAAAAACAGAAACCGGATGTTGGGATCATTCAACTCGTTTGCACAAATAAGAATACATGTAATTACTAAAAATTTGAAAAATAAGGTAAAAGAACTGTACCTAACATTCAATCCAGAAAGCGTAACACTAACAGGGTTTGGGGTAGGCGATGTATACTAGAAGCCGCGGGCGATATAAGAACAGAAATTACTCAAATCAATTTTTTCCCCTTTTTGTATCTCTTGCTATTACTGCCTTCCAAACGGCGGAAACCTGATACCTGCCTAAACCAATTAGACTTTATCATCTAATTTATCATTTACAAGAGGAGCCATCTCCAATTTATTTCGAGGCGTTCGGGGCGTTCGAGGTGTGCCTGGAACAGGTGGCTGTTGGGAGAGCACATTCCTTACATATCCATAGAATGTACATCCCCCGAGAGTCACTGCACAGCCAACAGCATTCATAGGTGAAATTGGGTTTCTAAATATCAGCCAAGAAACGAGGACAGCGGCAGCAACCTGCATAAAAAGCATAATTCTCATTAATTAGAAAATGAAAATCACCATGACTGTAGACAACATGACATTTCTGGTCCAACATTTAACAACAGGTTATACTACCCTGACATAAGTGACAATCATGTAAAACCGAAGAACAGAAATTTCAACGACAATTGGGAGCAGGGAAATATGATGAGAAAGATGTGGAGGTGGTGGAGGAGTGGCATTCTTTTATTAAGAATGTTGAACATGAGATTGACTACATTTTTTCCAGGTATTGAATAGAAAAGAATAACAATTTTCAGCTAATACATATATATAGCCAATTGACAATGACAGTTATGAGTTTAAACATGACCTAAAAGTATCGTAGGACAATGTATCTAATTCTGATCGATATCTCACCTTAAGGTTACCAGCAACATTAAACGTTACAGCAGTGGTCGAGTGAATCACATAGAAAATGGAGAAGTTAAGGCAGAAAGCCAAAATCCCCGAACTCAAAATAATGATGAGGGCTGTCCAAGGATATGGATGAGAGCCAAGCCACTCCAGAATTCCATTGCCTTCAAGCAACATTGCAGGTGCCGCCAAGATCATGGTTGCAAATGGTGCCATATAATAAACTGTATTGATGCTAAAGATGCACACACAAAAAAAAAAAAAAAATTCAGCATATGCATTGCACTAATGCCACGCTACATATATGCACAGAACAGAAGGTATAGGAGGCATGAGGCAGCTACAGGTTATCACAGTAACGTGTGTGAGAAAGATATCAAGTTACCCAGTGGCAACACTTGCTCTTTTTGGTGCAAATTGCTGCTTGACCAATACCCATCAGTTTTTCATGCCTGATAGATGCTGGTAGCAGGCGCTGTGATCAAATTTGTTAGCACCCAAAATTTATTTAGCTCCAATATGCAAAATTTTCTATCACTCTATTAGGGAAAGGGTTCTTCAGAAAATTGGATCAGTAAAGTGTTTGTAGGGATTCAAAATTCATTGATGAACAGAAGGTGTAAGTATTGGATAATTTAATCTCATCGATAACTGGCGAGTATGGGAAAGGAAAAAATAAAATACAAGGAAGAGACAAGCATAATGACCCTACCTGTCAAATTTATATCCATGCAGCAGAGACTCCGCAAGAATAGTCTTGGTGGATGTAGCCAAACAGCCAAATAAGGCAGCACAGAATCCGAACATATTAAAACTAAGCTCTGTAATAGATGTGAGAAGAATTCCTCCAACAATGGGCACGAGAGAAGCCCAGATACGCCAATCAAAATATTTTCTCCAAACTAGCCATTGCAACACAACTGTGAAAGTCCATAAAAATCAGATGAATTTATCCTTAATAAGTTTGAGATGAAGCAGGTGAAGGTAAGATTACACAATAATTGAGCCTCACCTGTCGTTGCAGGCGTGAATGATTTTATTGTCTGCATAAAAGATACTGGAATGTATCGCAAGCTTACATTCCCCAAAACTATGTTAATACAGAACACAAATGACATTGGAAAGATTCTTTTCCAGCGATCTTCCGGGTCAACAGCTATAAGTGGTTTAAGTTTCAGCACCTTGATAGCTATGTATGCTCCAATGGCTGAGCAGATGAAGTGGACACAGGATACTGATAAGGGAAACTTGAAATCCAATTTCTGCAAAAGAAGGAAATTTTAGACTCATAGTAGTTGCCGTCACTCATACAGGTTTAATATGACAACTAGGGGCCAGTGTGAACAATAAGGATACCAATAGCCTAAAGATGTGGAAGAAACAATAAAAATTGAAGAACATTTTTTTTTCCTCATGTGGACAGAACAAAATATGAAGAAATTTAATAATCGGCTGGATCGATCATTAACGTCTTTCTCAGATATTCTAGACATATGAAGTAATGAATGCAGTTTAAGAATATCAGATGAAGTTAAGAGATCAACATAAAATGGAACCAAGTTTGTGGATGATTTGCCGGGGGAGTGTCCAAGCTTCGTTAAGAAAACGGCCCTCTTCAAGAAGTTTTAAAGACAAACCAAAACTCGTTCAAATTTAAACAGGTATGCCACTATTCTTAGTAAGTTCATCACATTTTGAAGTCTCCCAAAATAACTTCCTGGTCTTAAACAGGTACATTGTATCACCCGGAGGGGGGGGGGGAGGAACGATGCATTGAGTCCTTCAGCTTATTTGAGTAATTGTTTAAACTCTTTGTATGTATCTCAGATGCCGGCCAGAAGAATAGAGTTTATGATCACAAATTGAAATAGTCCGGGGAGGAAGTCAGATTCAAGAAATACAAATTCCCGTTCAGTAAGTACTGCCAAATAAAAATAGATTAAGCGTTTAAAATTAATGAACAGTATGTTTTTGAAGGGCCACAACAGCACTAGGCCACTTAAGAAAACGCAATTTTGAAGCATGTCTAGTTCGATGACAAAAAAGAGCAGCTGTGTCCCCGGGGGGGGGGGGACTACGAGTCAAAAGTTTGCCTCATACAGCTTTGCAGGTTTACATATAACCAACATGGAACAGAAGTGACAAATCTTTCTCAATTGGCAAGACAAACGTAGTATTCCTCATTGCTCTCGAATTAGACCAAATAAACAGCTTAAGATTTGCAATTAATTGGGACATGAGAATTGAACGCGATAACCAAAAGATGCCAACATCACATAAAACTCAAAATTTAAAACCAAAATAAAGGGGAATAGAGGCATATGGCGCTCCACGAAATTCGATGGGCGAGTGGAAGGATTGTAGATCAACAATCAGATGAACGAGATACAGACCTGGAAGATCCATTTGTTAACGATAATTACAGTGACATTGAAAGTCCACCATTGAAGAATTGCCAAGAGGGATCTGATCACGCTCCACTGACAAACTAGGCTCTCTTCCATCCCCTCGTCCAATAACCCAAAACATATCAAACAACTCAACCCAGGATTTTAACAGGCCCGAGTGAATTTCGGAGCCCGTTCGATGAGTCTCTGATGGAGAGCAACAGCTGCGAGTTCCACCAGGACAATTTAGAGAGAGACAAGGGAAGGCTAGGGACGGAAGAGAGCTGGAAATTGTGACTATAAGGATATCTCTGCCACTCTAATCACATGTGATTTGTGTCCCTGCCACTCCGTAAGGCAAATTCTAACGTGTTTTTCTTTGCCTCTCTTTATCTCTCTTGATTCAACATATCACGCCATGGAGATGAAAATTATGTTTCTGACGTTGGCTTTGGAGGCCAAGTCCCATTCCGCTTTCTCGCTGGCATTCATCTTTGGGGGACTGTGGGTCCCGCGGCATGGGGTTCTCCGTCCAAGGTTTGGGCTTGGGCGGAGTCAGTTGGGTTAGAAAATCACAGCCATTCAATGTACGCAGCCCTTGATTTTTCCATTGACCATAATTTTTTTTTTAATGTTATAATGAGTTTTTCCTACTAAAATTTGTCATGGCTACTGTACATAGAGATTAAAGCATATTATTTTAAATCGTTACGCGTGATGCGATGATGAATAAATGAGAGTTTGTGACAATATGGTACTTAATTAAAATGTTTTTAATTGATCTTCCAGTGACTTGTATTACCAGGTGATCACAGAACAGCAATACGTTTTTTCACAAAATTATGTATTCGTCAGGCATATTCGAGATAGAAACTCAAGGGTGACGTGTCTGTATGTGTGAATTTTTTGGTGAAAATTTATGTGATTTGTTTCATTGCCATGCCGTGCATTCAAATCACCAATTTAATATCTGACCAAAAAAGGTCATAACATGTGTATTCATCCTAACGAAGTACGGTGTGCGTGTCATCGTAAACAAACACTTGGGAAATAATTTTGAATAAAAAGGGATGAGCTGGTGGACCTGCAGGTGACATTAGTTTGGTATCCAGTATTTGAATGGCTAATGCATTGATTATTAATGAATGGTCATTCATTAATATATTTCCATTAACACATCCTCTCTCCAAAATGCTGGTTTTTGCTTTTGCCGATAACAGCCAATTAATGGATCAAAACTATAAACACACGTCCAAATGAATCGACTGAGGAAATTTACCAAGCAGGCGTCAGAGGCGAACTATATATATGGGCAAGTGTGTGCGCGCGCGCGCGCGCGTGTCATGCATGGCGATTGCTGCACAGAGACGACACAGGTGTGTCTGTATATATGAACAACTACCCACTCTCACAGCTACAAAATGAGTGTCGAAACTCGAAATCCAAAATCCAACCCAGTGCTGCTCATAAATATAAAGTATAAATAATACCAGTATAATCTTTCTGTGCCGCTAAATATAGAATGATTTCCTCAAAAAGGGGGAAAACGAAGGCTGTTTCCTCACCCTGCCTGTTTCTTCAAAGCGACAAGATCCACCTCTTTTATTTGCATTCGAGTTGCATATGCTCTGAAAACGTTCATTGAATCTGTTTTATGTCTAAGAGGACATATATATGGAGCTAGCCTGCTTCGCCCAAGCCTCCGAGAAAGTAAATTAAAGGTGACAAAAACCAAAATTGCCTCCGCAGATGCAACGATCTGTGCCGAGCCGTGTATTTACAGAGTAAAAAAAAGGACTTGTACCTGTTTTGCTATCTATTGCCTTGTCTTCAGTATCTCCACGGCATCCAACATATTTAACACGAAATGACAAAGTTTGGAGCAAGTTTGCCAGAGCAGGGCACGTGGAATTGCTAAATAAGTTACCAATCAAACGATCCACGATAACAATATGATGCGGACTTTTAACTGATGCTCGTGGCCCGTGGCTAGGACCAGCCAATATATATATGTGCGTTGACTAGTTAAAGAAATCGAATAAAAAACGCCTGGAAGTCCATCTGGGTTGGTCGCTTGAACAAGATGAGGGGATCCAGGCACCAGTCTTAGAATGCCCATGACGTTGTTGTTATCAGCACTCGGTAATACGTACTAGCTATATTTTTTAATGGAGTCGCGAATTCGAAGTACGTGTCTGTGTTGAAGGTATATAAATATATTCCTTCCGCTAAGCATAATTTTGCAGCATCAAAGAAAGATTTTGCAGCCATGAGGAACATCTCGCAATTGATAATTCGTGTTCGAAATCTGGGTTGACCTTGCCTCTTTGCTAGCCAGTTAGCACAGCGAATAAGTTCCCATGATCGCTGTGCGGAATATATAGTAGTATATCCCTTCCGGCATTAGCTTCCGAATTCGTTGCCCTGCCTCCCCTTTTAGGATTTTTTTGGATCAACATTGCAATAATACTTATAAACACTTTCACATAAATTGAGACAATTCTTTTTATATATTTATTTTTTATTTCGCAAATTACATTTGAAAAACGGCTTATAAGTCATTTTAAATAAGCTCTTAATCATCTAATGAAACGAGATTACCTGCTCCAGCTGGGTCATAGAATACATCCAACTCGCCACCAATTTTATGTCCTCTGGTACTGCACACAAAGAGTTGAGCCGCGTGTGAGGCGTGAATAACCCCGGATGCGGTGCTCCGAATGGATCCAAGTTTTGATTAAACGCCCACACGCCACGAACCAAGAGGGTTGATACATGATGAAAAAGTACTCAACCGTGTTAAATATGCAAAAATAAAAAATAATAAAAATAATAATAAAATAAAATGCAATTCTAAATATTATTAAAATTACTTTAAAGTGCCCGTATATATATCGATTAGTTTATATTACCCTCCCCTGATTAATATACAGCTTAATTAACTAATTTCGAGAAGATTATAAAAACTAGTTAGGTTAATTATCTATAATAAATAAATATTTATTCTTTAAAAAATAGTTTAATAATCATGTGTGTTTGAACTACCC